AAGAAGACTAAAGAAATATCAGATTTGGGGGGAGAAGTGGAAATCATTTGGAGATCTTTTTCCTACGTTAAATTTTACCTCCAAGTGGAGATGTCAGGTTAGCAGAAAAATAAAACAAAGCAGAGTCAAGAGGTAGAAAGTGGCTTGAAGGGAGGAAGGTGTAGTTTTAGATAAGGTGGGTGGCAAACTTTGGGGCTGTATTTGAGAAGAGACCTAAATGAAGCAATGGAGCGAGTCATTGAGGTACCGGGAAAGGGCAGGAATGGCAAGTACAAAGGCCAAGGGAGCCTGAAAAGGAGAAATGGGCCTGAAGATATAACTTTGGAGGCATAAAAACATTGAAAGCTGGGGCTGGCCCAGTGGCATAGCAGTTAAGTTTGCACTCTCCGCTTTGGCGGCCCGGGGTTCATGGGTTCAGATCCCGGGTGCAGACCTACACACTGCTCGCTCATCAAGCCATGCTGTGGCAGCGTCCCACATAGAAAAAAAAAAGGAGATTTGCAGTAGATGTTAGCTCAGGATGAATCTTCCTCACCAAAAAAAAAAAAATATTGAAAGGCATCAGGGCAGGATGAGATTAACTATAAAATGCGTGTGGGTAGAAAATTGATCCTAGGACTGAGTTCTGGGGCATACCAGCAGTTAAAGATTAGGAAGATGAAGAGAGTCTAGCAAAGAACAGTGAGAAGGATCAGATAGGGAGAATGTATTTCATGAAGGAAATGCTGTGTTAAATGCTGTTGATAAGTAAAGGAAATTAGGCTGAGGATTGATTATTGAGTTTGGTAACTTAGAAGTTAGTGGTATGGTGAGGCAAAGGTCTGATTAGAATGAATTTGAGAGAGCAAAGGGTGAGGAAGAAGAGATATTATATTCTCCTTGGAGGAGGTTTCTGTGGTGATGGTGGTGGTGTTTTCCTTTAGTAAAGGAACTGAAAGAAATGGGGCAGTAGCTGGAGGAGGATATGGGGTTAGGGAGAGGTTTTTATTTGATTTGGTTTTGTTTTTACATTGAGTGAGTTCTCCTGGTCTCCCTTAGCCCTTCCCTCACCAACAACTTACTCCTAAAGCCATTAGATGAGCAGATCAAATACGCCATGCATACACACACACGCACGCATTTATATATGTGTAACTCAGTGTGTGTGTGCACATATATTTGTGTGTGTGTGTGCACGTGTGTGCTCCTTAGTTCTGTCTACTGAGATAGCCTGAAATCAGTGACCCCTTAATAGCATTGAGCATACTTGGCCCTCAGTTTTTCATTTCTGAATACCGTTCTCCAATAAAAAGAAGCTCCTTTGGAGGAATGGCTGATTTCAGAGCTGGGCCAGAGAAAGTACAATATGAGCCTGGAACATCTTGTTGTTCCAGAAAGCAAGGAAGGACTCAAAGAATGTTGGAGACATGTCAAAAGGAAATGAGCCAGCTTGAAAGAGTTCTCATTGGCCAGTAATGATAGTAACAGATTATAACTCATTGAATAAAAAAGAAAACCATGAGCCTACACAGGTATAAATAAATAAATGAATATATTCAGAATTTGATGAAGGATAGAATATTTACAGACTTTGAAAGTACTTCTTCACAAAATCCTCATTAGTTACAAAAGGGGAATAACAAATGTATGGTGGAGACGCCTGGCAGATACCACCTTAACTACTTGTTAAAGTGAACGTGGTCAGTAACGGTACAAATTGAAACCATACGCCATCTGACAGGGTGCAGTGAGAAGAATGCAGTGTCACTTTTGTGGCTTCCTTACCAAAGATGCATAGACTAAATCATGAGGAGACACCAAAAAACCCAAATTAAGGGATAGTTTACCAAATAACCGGCCTGTAGTCTTTAAAAGTGTCAAGGTCATGAAAGCCAAGTAAAGATTAAAGAACTGTTCCAGACAAAGAAACAACTAAATTCAAAGCCTGATTGTCAATGGGCCTTTTTTGCTGTTAAGGACATTGTTGGGACACCTGGCAAAACTTGAATGGCATCTAAGGATTAGATTCTGTGCTTCCAGCTTTCTGTAAGTTTTGTGATTATTTCAAAATAATAAGAAAAATTGAAAAAGGTAGGTACTGTCTCAGCATGTTTATATCCCTGGATGGAAATGATGGTGTAGAGAAGGGAAAAAATATACAGGGAGGGAGAGAAGGAGGGATAGAGTGTTCAAGTGCTCTGGTAGGCGAGAAAAAGGGGTTGGCTTTGGATATGAGCATAGATCACTTATTCAGGGTCATGAGAGAGAAGAAAATTAATATAAATGCAGGAAGGTTGCTATTTGATAGTGAAAAAGATGTGGAAATTCTTTTCTGATTGCTTCGCTTTTCTTAGTGAAATATGAAGGAGAAAGGGGTATTAGTTTTGAGAAAAGAAGGTTGAGATGTGGCTGTATTGTAAAGAATTTCAGAGATTGTTGATAAGGTTTTTTTTGTTTGTTTTTAGCTGTTCTTTCCTCTCCTGGAAGTTCTAAATAAGTTAATTTTATTCTCCCATCTTAAAATTTATCATCAAGGAAGTATATTTTAAGTAACATTTACTTAATTAATTTAATAAAATTTTATACATTAAATTGTCTAACATTCTGTAATGAATAATGCAAACAGATGAAAGGAAAAAATTGTAAAAGTAAGAAATCAGGAGTGAAAGTGTGGTTAAGATTTTGATGCAAGGCTTGTCATCGTGAGGTGTGAGAACTTTTGAATGCAGAAACCATTAATGGTATTGAGGGGACACGTAATTTGTAGAATTAGTGGGTTTGGGTTTGAAAAGATTGAAAAGATTTTCATTGCTCAAATGTAGTAAATCATTCCATTTCCTTTTGTAATATAGATTTTCTTTCAAGAGATTAGTGGAACACTTCAAAATGTTAAATTAATATTGTAGGGGCCGGCCCCGTGGTGTAGTGGTTAAGTGTGTGCGCTCCGCTGCTGGCGGCCCAGATTCGCAACCTGGGCGGCACAGCCACACTGCTTGTCAGGCCATGCTGTGGCGGTGCCCCACATAAAATGGAGGAAGATCGTCACGGATGTTAGCTCAGGGCAAGTCTCCCTCAGCAAAAAGAGGAGGATTGGCATGGATGTTAGCTCAGGGCTGATCTTCCTCACACACACAAAAATTAATATTGTAAAATAAAATTAAGTGCTCTGGGATAAGGCAAAAGACTATTCTAGTGAGAATGAGTTTTTCTTTCCTTCCTATCATTCACAAAGATCTAATCAGTAAGTAGTTCTGTGTTATAGTTGAGAGTTCCCAGCTTTATAATGAAGCATTTTAGTTTTTACTTTTAAAAAAACATCAAATGCAGCTGTGTGCTCTGTGTCTCTTACGTCCTGTAGCATGACGCTCATTTTCAGCTCTCATTGCCCTCTTCTAGGCTGGTGAGATAGGAGAAATGAAGGATGGAGTCCCAGAGGGAGCACAACTTCAGGGACCAGTTCATCGAAATCCAACTTATCGCCCAAGGTACCGTAGGTACGTAACATTTTCCTATAACTAATGACCAGTTGAAGGACTGTGAGCGACGGTAGAATGGATGAGGATATTGTGGGTCTGTTTTGTGGGTATATTATATAATTAGCAGATGTGTCTGCTTTGGCTATATGCCTGAGTTTTCTGGAGGATTCTGCAGTACATGTTTTCACATGACAGTGTGACATTGCCCCCCTACTTAAGAATTAGAATTTTTAGTTATCCCTGTATCAAAACCTTATTTGTATTCCATAACTTTTACATGATATAAATTATTTATTTTTATTTTTATTTTTATTTTTTTTTGCTGAGGAAGCTTCGCCCTGAGCTAACATCCATTGCCAATCTTCCTCTTTTATTCTTTTATGTGAGCTGCCACCGCAGCCTGGCCACTAACAGACAAGTGGTGTAGATCTGCGCCCGGGATCCGAACCCGGGCTGCTGAATTGGAGCACTCTGAACTTAACCAGTAGGCCACCAGGGCTGGCCCTGCATGATATAATTCATACTTAATTTTTATTGTATTTAATGAAATAAATTAGTTGATGGATAATTCAGTGATAGTGCTATAAATAGAGGAAGAATTGAATGCCAGAGAGTATTTGGGATCCTGAAGAGTCTGATACCTTAGGTAGTGTAGTATAGGGGTTAAGTCAGGCTACAGATCAAATTGTCTGTGTCTGAATTCCCACCCTGCAATTAGTAGCTGTATCTCCTTTGGCAAGTTTCTGGGCTCTCTAAGACTTAGTCACCAGGTCTGTAAAATGGACATTGAGGAACATTCTACAGTTGTCAATAGGGTTAAATGTACTAATGCATCTAAGATAATTAGTATGGTGTCTGGTATAATAAGCCCTCAATAAACATTAGGTATTATTGCTACCAATGATGTTAATATTAGTGAAGGAGAGGGTTATTTTATTTGTGCTTTATCCCTTGTGAAGGCTGTGAATTAGGCTAGACTCCATAAGGTCCTTTTTAAGCTTTTTCTATTGTGAGGCTTCCCATTCCTTTTCTGTATTCTTGAGGGAAGTGAAAAAAGTAGAACTTCATGCCTGAATGGCATCTACACCACCTTGAAGTTGGGCAGTGTGGGTTTATTGAAAGGAGAGTAAGTATATTATTTGGGGAAAAGATTTGTACCACTCTATGTCCTTTTTCCTCACAAGATTCATTCCAGTTTTAGATATTTTAGACATAATCATTCTAATGATTAATTACTAAGGACTTTTGAAATAAAAGAGACTTCATAGAAATGTCTTAATGAAAACAGGGAGGAGACAGTAGTTCATGGTGAATCCCAGCGCTCTCAGTCTCCAGCTGTGTGATCTTGGGAAAGCTGTGTTTGACATTTTTTGACCTATAAAAACAGCAATCCCATATGGTTCAATCAAATAGGTATTCTCTCTAAACCTCTTGCTTTTCTCGCTATAAAGCTACCTCACAGAATTAGCATTGAGTTAAGTATTTAACGTGCAAACATACCTGCACGGGCTCTGGCACGTAGTAAGTGATGTTAATTTTCTTCGCATATTTAATCCCCTTAGTCTCTACTAAACTCTGTGGAGGGCAGATACCAGGCCACTTTTCTTTTTTATTTTCCTGTCCTCAGTGCCTGTCAAAGTGCCTGGTAGGACCATAGTATGTGTTCAGTATGTGTTTGTCCACTACAAATAGGTGTTCGGCTGAAGGGGGAAAATGATGGAAAAGTAGGGTTTTTCCACCAAGTCTTTGTTCCATTTGCTGCATCAGCCCGTGCATAATTCTAGCAATAAATACGGATCACTTGACTTTTTAATCTTTTTTTTTTTTTTTGTGAGGAAGATTAGCCCTGAGCTAACGTCCAATGCCAATCCTCTTCTTTTTGCTGAGGAAGATTTGCCCTGGGCTAACATCCACTCCCATCTTCCTGTACTTTATATGGGACGCCGCCACAGCATGGCTTGACAAGCAGTGTGCACCTGGGATCCGAACGTGCGGACCCTGGGCCGCTGAAAGCAGAGCGCAGGCACTGAACTGCTCGCCACTGGGCTGACCCTTTTAATCTTTAAGAATAAATAAAACCTTATGTTCTTGAGGACCTCAGTCCCATTGCACTGTTCTCTTTTCTCTTGTGTTCTCTGTTCCAGGGGCCCTCCTCGCCCACGACCTGCCCCAGCTGTCGGAGAGGCTGAAGATAAAGAGAATCAACAAGCAGCCAATGGTCCAAACCAGCCATCTGCTCGCCGTGGGTACCGGCGCCCGTACAACTATCGGCGTCGCCCCCGTCCTCCTAATGCTCCTTCACAAGATGGCAAAGAGGTATATCCAGCCAGAGGGATGTTGCCAGATGGTCCTTAATCATGTGAAACTGGTATTCCATTCTAAGAGTGGTTTTATAGTCTGATAACTGCCAGTTATAAATATATATATAATATATACTACATTTTATATAGAATGTAATTTATAATACCATTTATAGATACATTTTACATATAACACTTTACATATATATAAAATAGCATATATGTATTATATATAAATTTTTATGTATGATAACATTTTGCTTAAGATGCATATATATAGAGGGAGAGAGAGAGTATGCCCTGCACGTAACACAAACCAAATATTTGAATTCAACTAATTCAGCATTCTCTGAGAGAGTTATCCATACCAATGGGGATTCAGAGCTAAAGCTTTTAGGGCTGTCCAAACAAAGGACAGCCTTTATAGAGAGGAACCTGCCTCTAAGCATGTGTCGAAAGCAATCGGATGTCATAGACTTTTTGTTCCGGAGAGTGGTGCTGTGTAGTTGCCATTTGGAGGCCATTCTTCTGTGATACTAATTTTTGCCTCATACTTGAGTAGTTAAAATTTTGCACAGTGATTTACCTTCATTGGCAGGAAGATTCCAACTTTTGAGACCTTTTTTCTTGAGCTTCCCACTGTCATCTGAATGGATTCATTTCTGGCGTGTGGTTCTGTTTTGTGTTTTAGACCAAGGCAGGTGAAGCACCATCTGAGAACCCTGCTCCAGCCACCGAGCAGAGCAGTGCTGAGTAACACCAGGCTCCCCAGGCACCTTCACCATCAGCAGGTAAGAGCTTGGGCAGCCCAGGCCTGAGTTGATATTTCTTTTAAATATCATCAATTTTTCAGCAATAGTCTGACCTCGTTCTGTGAGTCATCTGGGCCAACCCCTTATCTCCACTGGGATTCTGGAGAAAGAGCGGTTTTGGTGGTTAACTGTCTCTAGGGTTAACCTTATTTTTGCTGGGTTTTGGGGGCATAAACATTCAGACAGAGTTAATGATGATCAGATTCTTTTTTCTAGACAGACAATTTTTAACTATTAATACCACATAAGAAAACTATTGAAAGTTTTACTTTTGTGACACCTAGTGGCCAATTTGATAATTTTAGAGTGCCTGACAAAGGCCTCATTTTACTAACAGCAGACTGATCTGTAGAATAAACTAGAATGGTTTTTCTTCCTTTTTCCCTTTGATAACCAACATTATTTTGAGGCAGTGCAGTATAATATGTGAGAGCCAGCGGGTTTATGTCTCCATTGCAGGACCTACTACTTATTTGCTGGGTGATCTTGAGCAATTTATTTGCCCTCGGCCTCAGTAATGTTGGCTGCTGGTGAAATGGGGATACTAGCTAGACGCACCCACGAGGGTTGTTGCAAAGCTTGAGTGAGGTAACACGTGTGAGGTGCTTACACAGGGCACAGTAAAGAATAGCCTCTCCACAAGGGTTAGCTTGTTGTCTTCATTGTTTCCTACTTTTTTCTGTTGTCTTGTAAAGAGCTTAGAAATTTTATTTACTTAGGTAGCAATGTAACTCAAAAGACTGACCCAATTATGGAGCCAGTCTTAAAAGCATTTATAAGCCTTAGTTGATTTCATTTTGGGTTTTTCATATAATAACTTCTGAGACTTTTAATTTTTCAGTATTTCTTGGTTGTTGCTCTTTTCATTAAATAAATAGGAATTAGCTTTTATTTAAAACGAGAGATGGTAAAACTCATAAAATGTTAAGATTTCATAGTTTTGAGATTAGTATAAGGTCCTACTTTTTAAATGCCGTCTGCTTGTATATGCAGTGGTTTGGGATTTAAATTAGCCTTCCATTAGGGAGGCTTTTGCTAGGCTGGGAACATTCTATTTTATCTCTGGGTAGCGTGGACAATTTATCATAGAAATAAATTCCCTGGGCCGGCCCCGTGGCTTAGCAGTTAAGTACGCATGCTCCACTACTGGTGGCCCGGGTTCGGATCCCGGGCGCACACCAACGCACCGTTTCTCCGGCCATGCTGAGGCCGCGTCCCACATACAGCAACTAGAAGGATGTGCAGCTATGACATACAACTATCTACTGGGGCTTTGGGGGGAAAAATAACTAAATAAAGTTCAAAAAAAAAAAAAAAGAAAGAAATTCCCCATTCAAACTTGCTTGTATTAACTGACTTAGAATTCTATGTGTCAATCATTTGGCCATAACCTTTTATTTAGTAACATTATTTCTAGGTATTGTTCCTAAGAAAGTAATCTAAAACATAGGAGGCAAAAAAATATTTCTAGCGGGCTGGCCCCATGGCCTAGTGGTTAAGTTCAGCATGGTCCACTTGGGTGGCCCAGGTTCAGTTCCCAGGTGCAGACCTACCTCTCGTCAGCAGCCATGCTGTGGTGGTGACCCACATACAAAATAGAGGAAGATTGGCCCAGCTGTTAGCTCAGGGTCAGTCTTCCTCAGGCAAAAAGAGGAAGATTGGCAACAGATGTTAGCTCAGGGCTAATCTTCCTCAGCAAAAAAAAAAAAAAAATATATATATATATATATGTACATATTTCTACTATTTACAATCTGTCTAACATTGGGAAAGTGGCTAAATATTGTGGTATATTCATATTAGGAGATATTGTGCAGCCACTAAAATGATTATGAAGAATTATACCATAGTATTGTTTATTTGAAAGGCTTTGTGTTGGTAATTTTCTTTTATATAATTTTACAAAATTTTTACTGTTGTGTACTGATTTTCTGGGTTATAAAAATACTTTATCAAAAAGTAAGAGTTTGTATTAAATTAATCTATAGAAGAAGAACATGTGTAGATTTGTTTAGAGCTTCTGAAATAAACATTGTTTTTTGAATTACTTGAAACAGATAATTTTTGCCTTTTTATTCTTTAGCTCTTGGTCATTTTGTCACTCCTTATGAGTTTGATTTTAATTTTTTCCAGGTGACCTAAAGAATTAATGACCATTCAAAAAATAAAACAAAGCAAAAAGCAGACCACGACCTTACCAACACCAAAGAAACATCCAAGCAATAAAGTGGAACACTAACCAAGATGTGGACATTAGCATGTTCACTGTTATTCTTTATGAAACAAACAACTTTATAAAAGGAAAATGTCAGCAGATTTTTCCAGCAAGCTGAGATCCGGAAATTCCTGCACAGAAGATAAGAGAGCATCCTCCGCAGTTTCGGCAACCACTAGGTTTATATTTTTTCCTGGTTTTTACTGTTTTGGTAATATGAATTGAAAGAAGAAATATTAATACCACAGGGGGAGAACCCCAACCAAAGAAATCCGAAATATATAGTGAATGCTTTTTTTTCCTTTTTTGTTCATTTTGGATGCTGGTGCTAAACTTCCAAGTGTCATGATTTAAAAAGAAATTTTGTGCCCTTCTTATTTATTTCTAGGATGAGGGGAGGATAACATTTTTGCTTTCTTATGTGACTCTCTTTGGAAATGTGCAGTATAAAGTTCCTCAAAAATAAAATTTTTATCTTTGAAAGGAAAAGATGTATAACTGGAGTATGTTTTCCTATCTTAGCATATGTTTTGTCTTTTTTCCCCCACTTCATTCACTTAATAGTAAACTCAAAGCCACATGTAAAGATGGATTAGTGCTATTTCATAAACGTAGGCATATGCGTTTGAGATCATAGGAAATGGGATTCCTTTGAGAACATGCAGTTCACGTCTGAGTTCAGCAGTCAGCATGGTTGGTTTGGTACTCTGAATCTCCTGAGTAATCTTCATTCAGGTGGTTGGTGGCATTTAGGTTAACAGCATCCTTTAGATTAATGAAGGAGTTAGTTCTAACATCCTTAAACTTCCAGCCCAAGGTTTTCAACACTAGCTGCTGTGCTGTATAAGTGTGTCTTTCAGAAAAGAGGAAGGGGGGCTCTTTCCAACCACACTACAGATTTCTTCCCCCAATGAGTAGACGGTACAGGTTGAGAAACACTAGAGTATATGTCAATGCTCTGTAATTAATTCGGAGATCCACTGCACCTTTCAAATTATTTATTCCTTAAATTAAGTAAGTATGTTTTGAATGTAGGTTTGTGCCAAGCAGTATTCTAGCGGCTATGAGGGAACAAATCAACAAATGACCCTAGTCTCAAGGAGCTTGTATTTTAGTGAGTGAATATAAAGAATGAAGAAATAATGTAAACAAATGTGAAATTTAATGTCAGATGGCAATAAATGCCATAAAGAAAAATAAAACAGTAAAGGGATAGAGTAGCATAATTGCAGGAGGTATGTTTATTTTAAATGGGAGGATGTTGTCTCTCTTTCTATATGATAAGATAGTATATAAATGGAGTTCTGAGGTGGGAGATCAATAACTGTTTGAATATTTGAAGGGAAGAACATCGTAGGCAGAGGGAGCAGATGGAAAGACTCTAAGGTGGGAGCATAGTTGACCTGTTTGACAAGCAGGAGAGTAGATTGTTCAAGAACCTTGCCTTGTGTTGCAAATTTAAAAAAAAAAATCGAAATTGGTAATATGCACAAGGCAAAAATATTCAAAGGTATAAAAAAGTATTTTATGAAAAAAGTCTTCCATCCTAGTTCTTTTTTTATTTTTTTCAGTGAGGTAATGTTGTTTTATAACATTATATAAATTTCAGGTGTACCTCGTTATATTTTGACTTCTGTATAGACTACGTTGTGTTCCCCACCAAAAGTCTAGTTGACATTTGTCACCATACACATTTCCCTTTAGCCCTTTCACTGTCCCTCACCTCCCCTTCCTCTCTGGTGACCACCAGTCTGTTCTCTAAATCTGTGT